GAACGCGTTCACATGGCATCGACCACCTCCATTGTGTACGGATCAGGAACTACGAGCCGCGTTGCTCGCTCGCAGCCGGATACAGACTCCTCGTGGTCCGGATGATCTGTCCTCACCCAGTGGCTATTGTCGAACCGAATCGTATCAGGCTATCAAAATTGCTTGGGCCATGCTCGGTACAGCCAGTCCGCAATTAGCTCAACTGGCTTCGCGAATGCATTTGTCCAATCAGGAATTCAATGCTTTGGTAAACGAGGTACGTTATACAGTGTATTTGATTAGCTGACTGTACTCTCATGCTATTTCAATGGAACAGTGCATACATTTGTATTAGCCTAAAACATGAACCCAGAGCTGATGCACCAGCTGATCCGTCCACTTTCACACACACACAACACCTAGCTTGTGCCAGGTTGGGTTTGTGTGCAACTTGACATGCTGTCGATTCTCAGCCAACAAATCCGTTTGGATTCACGCCCAGGTTTCTTATTATTATTATTAATATTATTATTATTATTATATTTCACATACATCTGAGACCGGGCTGTGTGTCGAACAAATCAAGGTACAATAATCTTTATAAAAAGAAAAAAAGTTCTATGCTTTTTTTGTGGGTGCGATACTGCCAGGTTTCCCAGGACAAAGCAGTTGAATTTTTCTGGGTAATTCACAACTGAAACCTTCGGTTTGCTGAAGCCTGACCCATAAAACAGCAGGCCGGTGTGAACACCGAAATCCATTGGAGGAGGCGGGGGACGGTGCCCAGTTCATTGGATCATATGCCCATTGAACGGGGTACCCAATTACACCTCGATGCCCCCAATCGAGCTGGTGACCACCACCACAACCGGGAACGTGTGGTTGAGTGTGGGGGGTTCGTACGCCTCCTCATGGTTGGTTTGAAATCTGGGCTTTTATCCAACTCCCCTAGGTAAACTGCCGTTGGTTCACCAACACGATTATAGCCCCGGATGTTGGTTTCGCGTCTTCTCATTTTGGTGGGAAAACACCTCCGGCACGGGAAGGTTT